AGAAATGGATGTGTGTAGAGTGAATGGGCTAAAATGTGAAAGGCTGATCTTTCTCTGGCCACACTTCTGGGAACTTCCATGAAGTTAGACATCTCCCCAGAGGCATATCAAGCTTGGTGGGGAGGGAAGAGGAAGGGATGGAAGGGATAGTTTCCTGTTCCAGCTCTCTCTGCAGTCTGTTGGGGAATGAACAAGGCACCAGGGACAACTCACCAGGGATCCCACACTATGGGGCTGCTACAGCAGCCTCAAAATCAGCTTCCCAAGGGCTGCTCTTGAGGCCTTGTTCACTCTTTCCCCCACACACAAATGCTACTGAGCAAGGAGCTGTGACTCCTATGGCAAAAATCCCAGAAGAGTAGGCACCATTATGGCCATATGCTAGTGAACCCAGGGCTGCCTGGCTTCTATGGCTGAGCTGTGCCTACCAAAGCAAAGACTCCCCAGTGGGGGCATTTTGCTGCCCCCCTGCTGGCACCCCTCTAAGTCAGCACCTGGGGCAGATGCCACACTCACCCCTCTCCAGGTACACCTGCCCATGCAATCATTTCCACCACAGAGCATATCTAACTATATTAAGCCCTTCTGAGCACACTAAGAGGCCAAATGAGTGATGCAGGAATGTCTGTGGGGTGGATCAGGTCCTGGGGCCCAGCACCACCCCCTCCCATCTCCCACATGCTGGGATTGGGTTCCAGGAGTCCAGCACCAGCCCTCCTGCCTGGAATAGGTCCCAGAGGTCCAGCACCATTCCCTCATGCCAAGATTGGATCCTAGGGTCCCAGTGCCCCCCCCACCACACTCCCAATAACCTGGCATTGCCCCCTCCTGTTCCAGCAAAGTGAGATTGGGCCCTGGGGCCTAGCACTGGCCCTACATGTTGGGATCAGGCACTGGATTCAGAATGCAAGGCTTGGGGCTCCCCAGGGACCCAGAGATTTGGCAGCAGGAGAACAATGCCACAGCTCCCCCACCACCAAATTTCCAGACTCATGGGAAGTCCCATCGGCTAGATGGCATGGTGCTGTAGGCTGGCATGCCCTAAACTAAACTAAAAATGCTAAAGTATACTAGTAAATAGTTCTTAAACATTAGCAGTAATTTTTGTACACTGTGCTTTTATCTACCTGTACTATTAGCACAGAACAATAAACTCTGGCACATATTACACCAGGCCTTATTGCTCTCAGGCATCTTTACACGCGCCCAGGACCGCAGCATGTTGAACTGGGTCAGCGCAACCCCAGCTAGCAGGGGGCCCCAAGGGTCAGCCTGCTAGCCTGGGGCTGCTCCAACCTAGCTCAATGAGGGTGCTCTAGTGTCAGGGACAAGGGTTCAGTGCGGGGGCTGCCTTCTGAGTAGCCACAACCAGCCTCATGCATTGCAGCACACTAAAGAACACCAGCAGAGTTAGTTAGCTGTGGCCTAACAGGGCTGCACATATAGACGTTGAGATAACTGAAAAGCCTGGTTCAGAGCTGCACCTCCCATGGCAAAAATCTGAGGGGCAGGCACCATTTTCAAACCTGTCTGTTTGCCTCCAAGACTTCGTATGGGCCCATTATGCAGATACTGAATTCAGGACCATTTTTTGGCTCCCTGGATTTGATTCCAGTCTCATACCTATTTCTAAATTAGCAATATGAGAATAATTCAGTTAGAGGTGAATATACCAATAAAACTGACACTGACAATAAAACTAATACACATTTGATGAACTAGCATCCCCCATTCCTGGGGGATGCCTGATAACAAAGCTTTTGCTGTAAAATATAATTTAGTAAGGTGTAAGTGCCCAATTTAGGTGCATGGTTGTTGTTACATACCTGTTAAGTGGATGAACAGCCTCACACACTAAAATAGTTTATCACTGCTAGAATATGGCTCAATCACTTCATATTGTGAAGTTTTGACCTTTTTTTTTTATGTTGCTGAATTATAGCCTTCCACTATTAGAGATTTCCTCACAAAATGATGCGGGGAAAATACAGAAAAGTTATAAAATCTTTTATATATTTTTCCTGGTCTTTTTTAAGGTTCCCTAGCCTGCTAAGTTTCCTTTCTCCATATTATTGCCAAGAAACCCAGCTGAATAATAACAACATTTTGCAGCCCTCCCCCCTCCCCCCTCCCAACCAATTTCAACTCATTTTATTTAATTAAAAACAATATTGAACCACATTCAGATTCACTTTTCACTGGAATGTGAGTTAACAGTGTCTGAAAGAGGAACAAACAGCTGCTAAAATAGCTCTTTGACATTTAGTGAGGAAGCAAGCACTTAAAAAGGTAACTTTCTCCTTTAGCTTCTCCTTCTCTGCCATCTTCTCCAGCTGCCTGTTTGCAACCCCCCACAGAGTGTTTTAATATTATTTCACTCTCATAGCATAGTAGGACACACGGACAAACAAACAAACAACCCACAACAATTCTTTACTATCTTTCTTTTCCATCAGTATTTTTTTTTGAAACAATGAAAAATCTTTGTGCCTATAAAGTGTATGTGAATCAGGGCGGTATTATTAAACTATGATGGCCAACCAGCGAATAAGATTGGAGACCGAACAATCAGTATCCACAATCGTATTAGAATAACTCCAGTCCGTCAACATAGAGATTTCATCTCATGACTAAAGGCTACTGCATTTGACTTGTATCCAGTAATCATGCAGAATAACTAAGGCCTTGACTGCACTGGCTACAAGACTGCAGCCTAAATGTGTGATTATTATTATTTGATACAGACAGGTGCTTACTTTTATCAGGTTATTACAGCTAACAAGGAATTAATCAGTAACAGCATAAGCACATGTGCATTTTTAATAGTATATACACACACAATAGGATCTATACTTATTTACATTTGTAAAATTCTTTCAGTATAAAACATTTGCCTTTGTTTTTATCATTCTTAGCAGCCATAACTATACATTTTAATACAGTTTTAATTAAGACTGTTTGGTAAAATATAGCAGATCAATTTGGTAGGATGATATATGTTTACACGTGGATTGTTTTTGCCATAATTAAAAGATATTTGATTTGACAGGGGAAGAGAGTAGAAGAGTTAGATTTCATTTACACATTTAGTACATTCCCAATACTTTCTCATGTCTGTCCAATAACATTTCAGAATGATGTTGCCACTTCTGAAGCATTTAAGGGCAAAGTGTTCTGTGAAGGGCGATTCAATCCTTCGTACTGTCCAGAAAGCATAGATGACAAGTTACCACTTAGTACTTGTTCACAAACACTCTGCAGCCTTTCAGTTTTAGAGATACTGACTGGATAATAACACTCCTTCAGTTCTGGGTGCTGTGAAAGAAAGCTAGGCTTCTGGAGATGAGGAATGGACTGATAAAGGGGTGTTGAAAAATGTGTAATCATATAACCATTTCTGTAATGTGAAGGAAGCATTTTGCTTTCCTGGAGCTGGTAGGTATAAGAACTACAGTATTCTTCTGCATCCTTCCAAGCCCTTCCACCTTCACAGGCGACAATGCCTGGAAGAAAAAGCAAAAAGTTTAGTAGTCAGACATTTTTCTGCAATACAATGACCTACTTCTCTTAGAGGAAATTATATGGCAAACTGTCCTATCAATGATTAAATATGCATACACTTCTGTGCAGGAATGATAATTACTACTGATGGGAATCAATGAACAAGATTTATCACAGGGTTTTAATACGAGAAATTGTCATACTGTACACACAGGATTCAGACACTTAGTAATTTAATTTTAAGATCTACCTTTTTTTTTCCCCCAATGCCCACGAGCACAACAGACAGACAAAGACAGAGGGCCAAGAAAAAAAAAATGCATAAGCGACCCTTGGTCTTGTTAGATCTCTGTTTCGGGATGTTCTGGCTTCAGATAGATTAGACATCTAGAAAATGCTGAGCACCTGCTATCAGGCTCCTGTCATGCAAATCCCCACAAAAGACAAAAACAAAACAAAGTCCCCAGAAGCTCCCAAAGCACCAGTTACTTTAAAAAAATAAATAAATAAAGAAAGAAAGAAAGAAAGAGTTTAGGCTAGAATAGTCTAGTTGACTTGTCAGTCATTTCACACCTGTTTAATTCCACTGCTCCATTAACTCCTTATTGCAAAGCTTCTGTATTATAGGTTTTGTATTAATTTTAAACACTTCTGGAGAGAGCGCTACCACTTAACTGTCTTTTTCCAGGTGGTGCAAGGAGGAGTCCTGATGTTAAATTTACACTTACCAAGTTGCTTCTCCGTGATCTGCGAAGGGGTCTTCTTCAGCCCCTCTCCACTGATGTCAGAATCACTGTCATTAAACTCGCTGTCTCCCTTCCCACTGTCCTTCACACTAAACTGATCTGGAGTTGAATGAGCACTAAAAACAAAAGGCAAATCATTACTGTACCTTCTTTTTCCATGCATTGTACCTATATGAAATACTGTAAAAAAACTGCAAAAAGGAAATATCAGAAAATGTTAAATTTACCTTAAACTTGAAGCAGATAAACCCTCCTGCCAAGCACATGAAGAATGAGAAGAAATAAGGACTTGACCCTGACAAGACAGGAAAATATCTGTTAGTCAACATAGAAGCAACCCAATTAATTCAGATGGATTTAGTATTTAAAAACAACTGGATGAAATGACCTGAATAAACTGGAAAATAAAAATAAGTGAAAGTCAAGAGCGCATACCAATGAGCAAGTTTGTGCACATGTGCATGCTCACTGGGACATGCCCTAATAGTGTTGCCACATAGGCATAATTTTTTCACTTATTTCTGTGTGGTGTTTTAAGATATATGGATAAAAAGTGTTTAAACTAGAGCTACGTATCTTTGTATTGGCCTATTTCTCAGATAGAAAAACCGAGATGGTGGTGCACAAGTTAGTGACAAAGTGAAAAGAGAATCCAGATCTCTAGACTCTCAGGTAAGCATGCTGTCTGGTAGCTCACTACACCTACCAACACACATCTTTTCTTCTGACCAAAGAAAGTGCCCAAATTCATTCGCTCTGCACAAGTGACCTCAGTGAGCAAGAGACTCTAGGATGGGTAACCCAATGACTGTATTGCACAGGTGCTCAGAGGGAGGTAGGCTTACCTGGGAGTCAATGAGCCTTTTCCTCTCCTGGGTGGAATGACACAAGGACTCGTGGCTGCCATCCTCCCAGCCGGGATCATCAGAGGGGTGTTCAACCCCGGGGCTGACAGTGAGTTGGCAGAAGTCCACCTGGTGGCCTGCAGAGGGGCTCCATGCCAGGGGGTCCAGACCTTTTAGCTGCCTGCCCTCCAGGTCTCTCATTTGCTCTCGGGGCCTCCCTTTGCAGCCACTCACACCCTTCCCACAGGTGGAGACTACGCCAATGATCGCAGCCAGCAGCAGGCAGCAGCCACCAGCCAGCACCACAATAAAGACCATGGAGGGGTCCAAACCAGGTTGTGGGGACTGCTCCTCTGCCAGGAGCTGTGGCACCACAATCTCCACTCTGGAAGGCAGAACATTGGTGGGGACGAGCTGGAGGGTGGCAGTGCAGGTTAGGGTTGGCCACCCACCATCCTGCACCATAATGATGAGTGGGAGCGCTGCCTGCACCTCTCCACCCCGCAGCCTGCGGCGCAGCCACAGCACCCCAGTGTGCTCATGCAGTGCAAAGAGGTCATGGGCACCAGCTGCAATGGAGTAGGATAGCTCTGCATTGGGTCCCTCATCCACATCCCAGGCAGTAATATGGGCAAGCAGAAAGCCTGGTGGGGCGTGGCATGGCAGAGGCAGCTCAGCGGAGCTGTTAACCAGTGGCGGGGCCACGATCTCTGGAGCGTGGTCATTACCATCCAGCACATGAACGTGCACATGGCTCTGGCTGCACTGTGGGGGGGTGCCCGCATCGCAGGCTTCCACCTCCAGCTCCAGCACCTGCAGCGCCTCATAGTCCAAAGTGCAGAGGGCCCGCAAGACACCGGTGGTGGGGTCAAGAGAGACATAAGTGGAGACAGGGGCACCGGCAACCTGGGCCTCGAGCAGGCGGTAGGTGACCTTGCCATTAGGGCCCAGGTCCGGGTCGCGGGCCATCACAGTGGCAAGGTAGGCGCCGGGGGGGTTGTTCTCGGGCACAGCCACCCGGCCAAGTGGCAGTGGGGCGAAGAGCGGCGCGTTGTCGTTCTCGTCGCGCAAGCGCACGGTGTAGGGCCACGCGGTGCGGAAGGGCGGCATGCCCAGGTCCTCAGCCACCAGCGTGAGGTTGTACTCGGACAGGTGCTCGCGGTCCAGCACAGCCACTGTCACCAGCACGTAGCTGTCGCCGTAGGCGCGCCGCAGCGCAAAGTGCTCGTGGCCGTGCAGTGTGCAGCGCACCTGCCCGTTGGCACCCGAGTCGCGGTCCCAGGTGCTGACCAGCGCCACGAAGCTGTCACGTGGCGCTGCCTCGCTCACGTACAGCACCCTGGGGCCGGGCTCGGGTCTGCTGCCGGCGCCCAGGCCGGGCCCCGGGGGGCCAGCGGCACCCAGGCCCAGGGGGCTGAGGCGGATGCCGGGTGCGTTGTCGTTGACGTCGGTCAGGCGCACCAGCACGGTGCAGGTGGCTGCCAGCGGGCTGGCGCCCCGGTCGCGCGCCTCCACGTCCAGCTCGTAGGCGCGCTGGCGTTCGTAGTCCAGCGGTGCGGCCAGCGTGAGGCGGCCTGAGCGCGGGTCCAGGCGGAAGAGGCGCCGCGCCTCGGGCGCCGCACGGCTGCCGAAGCCGTAGACCACCTCGCCGTTGGCGCCCTCGTCGGG